GGCAGGTCTGTTCCAATGTGGGGTTCAGCAGGCAGAGGGGGGCTCTGGGGATGGGGCTGGCATCCGGAAGCCTGGCCTTCCCTTGGAGTGGGCAGTTGATCAGACCTCTTTGTTCTTCATGGGATGACAGGGTGTGGAGCCACTGCCAGGTGCCAGGCGGGAGGCCGCGGGGGAGGCTCGCTGCTTGGAGGAATGGCAGGAAGTGCTCTCCCCCAAAAGCCCTGTGTCTCCTGAAATGGAGACATGGTCCCTTCACTGGCCCTGCCCGTGTCTCCCTGCGGCCCCGGGCGGGGCGGTCATGGGGCCTCGTCTGGGACACCCAGCCCTGCTCTGGTACATCTTGTCCTCCTCTGAAAGAGCTCTATTAATACCCTGCGTGGACATTCAGGACAGCCATTCATGATCTCTGTCCTCACGTGTGTCCCCAGTCCAGGCCATTCATGAGCGTGAGCCTGATCTCAGGGCCTGCCTGCCTCCACCCCTCACCCCTGCACGCTGCCTCCCTCCACCCCTCACCCCTGCACGCATCAGGGATCCTGACACCATGAACTGTCCAGAGAGGCCAGGCGCCAGTGGCTCACGCCTGTCATCCTAGCTGCTCAGGAAGCTGAGATCTGAGGATCCAGGATGAAAGACTTTCCAGGCAGGAAAGTCTGTGAGCCTTTTATCTCCAATGAACCAACCAAAAGCTACATGTGGAGCTGTGGTTCAAGTGGTAGATACCAGCCTTGAGCAAGAAAGCTAAAGGGTAGTGTCTAGGCCCTGAGTTCAAGCCCCAGTACCAGCATGCATGCGTTCACGCATGCACGCGTGCGCGTGGTCACGTCCTAATTTTTTTTTTTTTGGTTGGTCATGGGGCTTGAACTCTGGGCCTGGGCGCTGTCCCTCAGCTCTTCAGCTCAAGGCTAGCTCTCTACCACTTGAGCCACAGTACCACTTCTGGCTTTTTCAGATCTCAGACTCCAGCATGGCTGGGATCCCCAGTGTGAGCCACCAGCACCCGGATGGACTAGAACTGGCCACCAGGAGGAGGATGGGAGGATGGCCACTGCCTTCCCTGGGGAACAGGCTATGTGTGCTCAGGTCTCATGGGCGCCCCCTCCTGGCCACACGCAGGTACTCCCTACCCATCTGAAGGCCATTCTTCCCCCACCCCCCCAGGCTGAGGATCTGGGTTCAAAGTCAGTCCAGGCAGACAAATCTTCAGATTCATCTCCAGATAACTGGCAGAGAGCCAGAAATAGAGATGTGGCTCAAGGGACAGAGCAACGGCCTTGAATGGAAAAGCTAAGTAAGAGCTTCAGGCCCCAAGTTCAAGCCCCAGTACCTCTCTCCACCATTTCAGGCTAACTGGGACCAACCTCTTCACTTAGGCCTCGTGGGGAGACGTCTGGGTGCCCAATTTGGGCAGATGCAACTGGAAGTCAAACTTTAGGCTTTCTACTTCCTCCACCTGTCCCTCCAACCCTCAGTGCTCTCCTGCCGACTGGACTTAAAGAAAAACACAGAAGACACCACCAACAAAGCCACACTTCCGCCGGGCTCGGTGGCTCATGCCTGTAATCCTAGCTACTCAGGAGGCTGAGATCTGAGGATCATAGTTCAAAACCAGCCTGGGCAGGAAATTCCGTGAGACTCTTATCTCCAATAAACCACTAGAAAACTGGAAGTGGCGCTGTGGCTCAACTAGTAGAGTGCTAGTCTTGAGCTGAAGAGCGCAGGGACAGCGCCCAAGCCCAGAGTCCAAGCCCCATGACTGACAAAAAAAAAAAAAAAAAAGCAGCAGCAGCCACGCTTTGGCTCTTTCTGTCTGCTCTTGTAGCTCTTTTGGAAAGCTAGTTATTAAGAACATTTTCTACTTTTCTTTTTTTTTTTTGTCAGCATTCAGAGGACTCACAAGCACGGCAAGAGATGAGAGCTAAATGAGAAAATGTTCAGAACATTCTGAGAGCTGAGACTGCCACCCAGGGCAGAGACGGCGGCTTCTCCCAAACAAGACAGGCAGTTCTGAGAACAAGGCGGGCTGTCCCTCCCGGGCACTGTTGGTGAAGAAGGTGGGAAATGGAAGTGACAGAAAGCTAACTTCATGAAGTTGGTTTAGTCAGCCCAGGACAATTTGAAAGTCCAAAGTAATCTAGCTTCAAGTACTGCTGGATCCAGGGACTTCTGGCATGCCATCAGAATGTCGGTTATGGGGTCAATATAGGTAGACTCCCTTCTTAGAAGATTATGGCAATGGAAGAGGGGGGAGGGAGAGAAGGGGAGAGGGGAAAAGGGAAGAGAGAGAAAGAGAGAGATCATTCATTGGCTTTTCCTTTCCTTCCCCAGGCTTCATAGACATTCTTTCTCTCTTCTTCATTCACAGCCAAGCGCCAGTCGTTCATTCCTGTAATCCTAGCTACTCAGGAATCTGAGATCTGAGGATCACTGTTCAAAGCCAGCCCAGGTAGGGAAGTCTGTGAGACTCTTGTCTCCAATTAACTTGAAAAAACTGACAAGAAGGGTCATGTGGTAGAGTACTGGCATGCGTGTGTGTGCACACACACAGGTAGATTAATTCATGTGAACTCAGTTTCTTTGTCTGAAAAATGAGGAATAATAGTGGTACTTTTTCATTCAATGTCTTTCAGATGCTATTTTATTTATTTATTTTCAGATCTCAGCCTTCTGAGTAGCTAGGATTACAGGCGTGAACCACCAGCGCCCGGCCCTGAGAATTTTTTTTTTTTTTTGCTCTAAGTTAGTGCTCTGCCACTTGAGTCACAGCTCCACTTCTAGCTTTTTGCTGGTAATTGGAGACAAGAGTCTCATAGACTCTTTGGCCTGGGCTGGCTTCAAACCATGATCCTCATATCTCAGCCTTTTAAGTAGCTAGGATTACAGATATGAGCCATCAGCACCTGACAGAAGCTCTTTTTTTTTTGGCCAGTTCTGGAACTTGAACTCAGAGTCTGAGCACTGTCCCCGAGCTTCTTTTGCTCAAGGCTACTAGCACTCGACCACTTGCGCCACAGCACCACTTCCGGCTGTTTCTATGTATGGGCTCCCCGGGGCTTCATGCGCACTAGGCAAGCTTTCTACTGCTAAGCCACAGTCCCGGCTCCAGACGCTAATTTTTTAAGTTACGATTTTCTTAGAGGGTCCGCTTTTTCTTGCCACTTCCTTGCCCATCTCTGCCCAACCCATCTCTCTTTAGTTCTCCACTGCTGCCACGTACCTTGTTAACACAAATTCTCTGGAAGGGATGGTGAGGTCAGGTTTAATTTTTTTTTTGGGGGGGTCTGGTTGTGGGGCCTGAACTCTGGGCCTGGGCGCTGTCTCTCAGCTCTTCAGCTCAAGGCTAGTGCTCTACCACTTGAGCCACAGCACCACTTCTGGCTTTTTTCTTTTTGCTTATGTGGTGCTGAAGAATCGAACCCAGGGCCTCATGCTTGCAAGGCAAGCGCTCTACCACTGAGCCACCTTCCCAGCTCCAGGTTTGATTTTTTTTAAAGGGTATATCTTCTGTGTCTCTTCCTTTTTTTTTTTTTGTTGGTCATGGGGCTTGAACTCTGGCCTGGGCTCTGTCCCTCTGCTCTTCAGCTCAAGGCTAGCACTCTACCACTTGAACCACAACACTACTTTTGGCTTTTTCTGCTTATGTGGTGCTGAGGAATTGAACCCAGGGCTTTATGCATATGAGGCGAGCACTCTACCTCTGAGCCACTTTCCCAGCCCCTGGTTTCATTAAAAATGTGTATATTTATTTAATGAAGACCAGATCTTTATGTAGCCCAGGCTTGGCCTCCAACTCCCCATCCTCCTGCTTCAGCCTCCCAAGTGCTGGGATTACAGGTGGGCGTCACCACAACTAGCTCGTAGCCTCATTTCTAATTACAGATGGGAAGCCCAGGCCCAACTGGGGTCTTGGGTGTCTAGGGGTAGGAAGGGCCATTGGCATCCCAGAGAGAGCCATCCCTTCTAATTCCACTGAGAGTTTTTGGCTGGGGGTGGGGAGGGAAGGGAGGAGAGGCTGGCATGTGGAAGGCATCCTGAATGACCTCATCTCCAGGCTGTGCTGTCAGAATTCCAGTCAAATCAGTAAGGGGCAGAAGGGTCAGTATTCTACAAGTCCTTGGTCATCCCCTGGCTGTAATCAGTTGACCTTGGAGAGGGTCACAGCACGTGGTCAGGGACAGCAGGCTGGGGTCCCAGTGCTGTTTTGCCCCCTTCTCTCTGGCCTGACAATCTGGTGGGGAAATGGAGATCTTCAGAGTTTGTGCCAAGTTCACTCGGGGCGGTCAGCACCACGGACAGCGCCATGCGGGGCAGGAGCAAACCTGGGGCTGGCTGAGTGAGGGGCGCCTTCCAAACACGCCAGGGACTCAGCTCCCGTGGCTCAGGCCTGTTATCCTAGCTACTCAGGATCATGGTCCAAAGCCAGCCCGGACAGGAAAGTCTGTGAGAGGTTTATCTCCAGTTAACCACCAAAAAAAAACCGGTGGCTCAAAGTGGCAGACTGTTAGCCTTGAGCCAAAAGAGCTCAGGGACGGTGTCCAGGCCCTGAGTTCAAGCCCCATGATTGACAGAAACACAAACCTACAAAACCACACTCACTGGGAGGGGAGACAGACAGGTGGTGGAAGGTGTTGGCTGGGGCTGTGGTGAATGAGTCACCCCCTGCACCCCCACACTCCCGTTGTGCCTGGGAACCCCTGGGGTGCTCCCTGCCACTCCCAGCTATGGTTAGGGTGGGAAGAACAGGGAGAAAGTGCCACAGAGAGGCCCCCGGATTTCTGCAGGAAAAGAAGCAAGAGATGGAGGAGCCCTGTCCCTTCCTCCCTCCCCCCCCAGCCCAGCCCAGCCCAGCCCATTTCTATACAAGGCCTGATCGCCCCAGCCACCACCCCCGGCCCACAGTGCTCCTCGCAGTCGGGCCTGTAGGGGTGCATTCTCAGGGCCTGAGCTCAGCCTGCGGGAATGTGGCTGATAAATCAGAGATAACTCCCCCTCCCCTCCAGGAAAGGGCTGGCCGATGCACAGACCTGCAATAAAAGGGCCGCAGCCCGCCCTGAGAAGTTGGAAGAAGACGCAGGGGTCCTGGGACCGGCCAGCACAGCCCTCCAGCAACATGGGCCTCTCCACATCGGCGCCCTCTGTGGCCATCCTGCTGCTCCTGTTCTTGTCCTGGATGCCTCTGGCAGGCCGGTCTCACCCCCTGGTGGCCTCTGGCCAGGACTCAGAGCTGTGGGAAATCCAGGTGAGCCCAGAGGGATCCTGGAGGACTGGCCTGGGACTGACTCCCTCTTAAGCAATGGGAGGGGCGGGGCAGCCCAAGGGTGCGGTGCTGAGCCCCCAGCTCCCTCGCCCACCACAGGAGCTGCTGGATCGTTTGAGGACCCAGGTCTCATCCAGGACGGACGCCAAGCTGATGGCCGTGGAACCTCTCCAACAATCCCAAGGCCCCTCGGGATCCGGGGAGGCCGCCCTGGAGGGTCACCTTGGGCACAGAGGACGCCCCTACCAGGCCTTGCGGGGGCTGAAGGTGTCTAAGAAGGTGTTCAGCTCAAGCTGCTTCGGGCAGAGGATAGACCGGATCAGCTCTGCCACTGGCCTGGGCTGTAATGGTGAGTGTCCACCTGGTGCTACTCCCAGGCCTGACCTGCCAGGGTGGGAAACCTTCAGAAAATAGGACGCAGGCCCCACCTACCTTCTGCCATCCCACGCCGGCTTCCTGTCCTCAGAAGGGACAAAGCTCTGCAGAGGGGTGGCTAGTCACTGCCTGGCACGCTCTTCCTTGGAGGAGAAAGACTCCTCTATTTTCCCTCCCCACATCTACTAAATTGTCTAGATCCTCAAAAGCCGAGAGCCAAGATCATCAAGGAATCCCATTTCACAGCGAGGATTCCACGAAGGGCCGAGAGATGAGTCACTCCAGAGCCTTGAGCACCCAGGGCTGGTGGCGCACACCGGGAATCCCGGCTACTCAGGAGGCTGAGATCTGAAGATCTCGGTTCAAAGCCAGCCCTGGCAGGAGAAAGTCTGAGAGACTCTTTTCTCCAATTAACCACTACCACCACCAACAAAAAAAATCCCCAAACAAACCAGAAGTGGAGGTGTGGCATAAGTGGAGGAAAGAGTTCATGGAGGATGCAAGGCCCTGAGTTCAAGCCCCAGCACACACACACACACACACACACACACACACACACACACACACACACACACACATCAGCTTGGGGTAAAGGATGTACAAGAGAATCTCAGCTTCTGCCTCAGTTTCCGCCCCCAGAGGCTCTTCTCACCCTCTCTTTTCCCCCACAGTGCTGAAGCGGAATTAGGCGAAGTGCTGGTTGCACACGTAGGCTTCCGACTCTGGAGAGGCTCCTGCTCCATCCCTGCCCGGTTTGAGCCAGGACACGCGCCCACCCTTTGAATCAACTTCCTATTTATTTTTATTTATTTATTTATGTATTTATTTGTCTGTTTTCTACTGGATGATTTCTTACCTTGAAGCACAAACTTTTCCACAGTGAAATAAAGTCAGCATCACAAACCTTTTTTTTTTCTACTTGAAATGGATGTTTCTGTGTATACAAAAAGTCCTTAATAAGCTGGGTGACAGTGGCTCATGCCTATAATCCTAGCTACTCAGGAGGCTGAGATCTGAGGATCTTGGTTCAAAGCCAGCCCAAGCAGGAAAGTCTGTGAGACTCTTATTTCCAATAAACCACTAGAAAACCGGAAGTGGCACTGTAGCTCAAGGAGTAGAGCACTTGCCTTGAGCTGAAGAGCTGAGGGACAGCGCCCAAGCCCAGAGTTCAAGCCCCACGACTGCCCCCCCCCAAAAAAGAGAGAGGGCTGGGAAGGTGGCTCAGTGGTAGAGCGCTTGCCTTGTATGCATGAGACCCTGGGTTCAATTCCTCAGCACCACATAAGCAAAAAGTAAAAAGCTGGAAGTGGTGCTGTGGCTCAAGTGGTAGAGCGCTGGCCTTGAGCTGAAGAGCTGAGGGACAGTGCCCAGTCCCAGAGTTCACGCTCCATGACTGGACCCCCCCCAAAAAAAAGGAAAGAAAAGAAAGATGGAAGGAAGGAAAGAAAGAGAAAAAGAAAAAGAAAAAAATGAGCTGGATGCCATTGGCTCAGCCCTGTTATCCTAGATGCCCAGGAGGCTGAGATCTGAGGATTGTGGTTCAAAGCCAGCCCAGGCAGGAAAGACCATGAGACTGTCATCTTCAATTAACCACAGAAAGCCGGAAGTGGCACCATGGCTCAAGTGGTAGAGAGATAATCCTGAGCAAAATAGCTCAGGGGCAGTGTCTAGGCCCTGAGTTCAAGTCTTGGGACCAGAACAACAAGAACAACAAAAACCAAAAGGGCTGGGAAGGTGGCTCAGTGGTAGAGTGCTTGCCTTGCATGCATCAGGCCCTGGGTTCCATTCCTCAGCACCATATAAGCAGAAAAGGCCGGAAGTGGCTCAAGTGGTAGAGCGCTCGCTTTGAGCTGAAGAGCCGAGGGACAGCGCCCAGCCCCAGAGTTCAGGCCCCACGACCGACAAAATAAATTAATAAAAAGGAAAACCACAAAACCTGTGGGTTTTTGTTGTTTTCTGGAAGATTTGAAGGCATCTTAATGGAGGGGAGGGGATGAGGCTGCAGGGGGAGTCTGTGGCATGGCCGGGCTTTCTTTCCTTCTGAGCGTTGCCTGCTTGCTGTGAGCTGTCCCCACGGTCCTGAGGCTCAAGAGATACCTGTGTCCGGGGAGTGAAAGGCAGGTGTTTTCCTGGCTTGACCTCTTCTGGAATTGAACCAGAAAGCTTGCTCCCTGGGGCTGGATTCCACCATGAATGCCAGAGACCAGGGCAGTGTGTATGTGTGCACATGTGAGCATGCGTGCATGTGTGTGTGTGTGTAGGAACTGCAATGTCTGTAGGGAAGGGCACCCTAGCCCCATGTACTCCTCTGGGCATCGGGCCTCCATCCTGCTCTGAATCCCAGCTTCCACCTTCAGTCCTTCCACTTCGCTCAGGCTGGGAAAGGAGCCCTTCGAACCCCCCCCACCCAGGCCGGTGGCTCACACCTGTAATCCCACCTCCTTGGGAGGCTGAGATCTGAGGATCACGATTCGAGCACGAGACCTTGAGTTCAAGTCCCAGTACCGGCACAAAAATAAAAGAAAATGGAAAGCCAGCAAGAGGAAGCATCTTGCCAGACAGGTGGTGGCAGCCACACCATGCTGGAAGTGGAGTGAGCGCAGAGCCCCGCAATGCCTCACCTCCGACTCTCGCTGCACTCAGCCTGTATTTCTTTGAGTGAGAGAGAATCATGTGTGATAGGTCTCATTCTGATCCAGTAGGCGCCAGAGATTGTGGATAGCCAATCAGATTAATTTATATACACGCACACATATGAATGTGTGCGTATTGTTCCAGGCAGCCCTTCTTACCTATTTTTCAAATAACGTCTTGTGTGTGTGCATGCCAGGGCCAGCCTGGCCTGTGATCTGCCTATTACGCTTTCCTCTTTGCCAGGAGGACAGGTGAACCTCATCCCATCCAGCTGTTGATGGAAGAGTGGTGGGGTTGTATTTGTACCCTCCTGGCCTTAAACCCCGATCCTCTCCATCTCCATCTCTGCCTCCTGAATATTTAGGATTGCAGACATGAGCTGCCACGTCTGGAAAGATTTTTTTTTTAATGAGATTTTAGAAGCAGTTTATTTTCCAAGAGATTGTGAGTCATCTTTGTCTCATGTTTCTGACCTGGGAAGGCAATGTGTAGTTAGAACAGTTAATGAGGAAGAATGTAGAGGCTCAATTCCAACAGCTGTGATAGTCTTTATAACAAGTCTAATAAGAACCTCATCATAAACCAGGCGTCAGTGCTCAGGCCTGTAATCCTAGCTACCCAGGAGGCTAAGATCTGAAGATTGTGGTTCAAAGCTAACCAGGCAGGAAAGTTTGTGAGGCTCTTATCTCCCATTAACCACCAAAAAGTTGGAAGAAGAGCTGGCTCAAGCAGTAGAGTGCTAGCCTTGAGTGAAAAAGCTCCCAGGGACAGTGCTCAGGCCCTGAGTTCAAGCCTCAGTACTAGCACAAAGACAAAACAACAAATAAACCTCACTCCTCATATCCACATGGGGAAATCAAGGCACACGGAGGTGATGGAGTGTTAGTCAGGGTAGTGAGTGAGTGACAGAGCCAGGATTTGTTTGCCAAGTTGGAAAATTCAACTTACTTAGGGCTGGGAATGTGGCTTAGTGGAAGAGCGCTTGCCTACCAACCTTGGGTTCGATTCCTCAGTACCACATACACAGAAAAGGCCGGAAGTGGTGCTGTGGCTCAAGTGGTAGAGTGCTAGCCTTGAACAAAAGCGGCTCAGGCACAGTGCCCCAGGCCTTGAGTTCCAGCCCCAGGACTGGCACTAAATAAAGACTTGCTCAGTGATCTCATTCAGCTCAATATTTAAGGTTGATCTTGCTGCTCAAGCAATGAAGACAGAGAGAGCCCTCCCCTTCTCTAAACACAGCGAGAACTTCACAGTTCATGTGTGTGTGCACATACATGTGCACCAGTACTGGGACTTGAACTCAGGGCCTGGATGCTCTCCCTTAGCTTTTCCATTCAAGGCTGGAGCTCTAACACTTGAGGGATGCTTCTACATCTGGCTTTTTTTTTTTTTTTTGGCCAGTCATGGTGCCTGAACTCTGGGCCTGGGCACTGTCCCTCAGCTCTTCAGCTCAAGGCTAGTGCTCTATCACTTGAGCCACAGCACTACTTCCAGCTTTTTCTGTTTATGTGGTGCTGAGGAATCGAACCCAGGACCTCATGCATGCAAGGCAAGCACTCTACCACTGAGCCACCTTCCCAGCCCCTGGCTTTTTTTGCTAGTGAATCAGAGATTAGAGTCTCCTGGGCTTTCCTGCCGGGGTAGGCCTCAAGCCACAATCCTCAGATTTCAGCCTCCTGAGTAGCTACAATTACAGGGGTGAGTCACCAGTACTTGGCTTTTGGCACATTTCTGAAGCTAGACTCCCTGGCTGTTCTCGAACCCTGGCTCCTGCTCTCCTGCCCCAGCTCTCCTATCTTGGACATTGTCAGGCTTGTTGGCTCTCGCTTCAGTGCTCACTGGCCTGGTCCTGCAGCACTGTGAGCACTTTGTCTGGAGTCCACACACCTGTCCACAGGCAGGCCCTCCCCCAGCAGGCCAGAAGTGCCATGTGGGTGCCCCACATCACCCAGTACCTGGCCGGAGCAGGCAGGAAAGCCTCCGCTGCCTGGGGTGGCCGGTAGCCCTGGCTTTCCCCTTCTTGGGGTGCCCATGGCAGCCCCTCATTTCTCCTTGCCCTGTGTCCCTTTCTCCACTCACCCTGACATTTCTTGGGATGGTCTCCAAAAGAAACCCTTGCTCCTGAAGTTCCTGTCTCAGGCTCAAGAAAACCTAAACAAAGCCACTCCCAAGTGATTAAACCTTGATCAGCCTCCCGGCCCTGCCAGTGACTCAGGCCTCTGAGGCTCCCTGGGCTGGACCACACAAGCTGGTACCACGTCACCGCCCAACTCCCCCACCCCCCAACACTGGCTCCCATCCCTGCACTTCGGCTCCTGCAAGGCCTCTGGCCCAGAGGGTCACTTTTCCTTCCTGTGAGGTCCCCAGGGCGGGCAAGGGGGAAGGAACTACAGGTGGGAGGGAGAGGAGGTGAAGAAGGAAGGCTCACTGATCATCCTTGTGAATGGTGGCCGGTATGTGCCAGTTCCAGGGTTCGATCTCAGAGCCTCTCCCTTTTGCTTGATTTACTTGCTCACAACAGGTGCTCTATCACCTGAGCCAAACCTCTAGTTGGGCATTTGGCTAGTTCATTGGAGATAAGATGCTCTTAGATTTGTCTGACCCTGAAGGCCTCCAACTGCAATCCTCAGATCTCAACCTCCTGAGTTGCTAGGATTTATAGACATACGCTCCTGGTGCTGGGCTCAAGAAAATACTTTCTGAAGAATGAGTTTGCGCCATGTCTGGCCTGGAATCCAGTGGAGTCCAGAGACGCCTCACCCTGCCTCACTTCGGGCCTCCTAGCAGATCAGGCTGTCTGTCTGTCTGTCTGTATGTCAGATGTGGGCCTTGAACTCGAGGCCTGGGTGCAATCCCTGAGCTCTTTTGCTCAAGGCTAGCACTCTACCACCACTTTGACCTACAGCAACACTTAAAATTTTCTGGCAGTTAATTGGAGAGAAGAGACTCATGGACTTTCCTGCCTGGGCTGGCTTTGAACTGCAATCCTCAGATCTCAGCCTCCTGAGTAGCTAGGATGACAGGTGTGAGCCACTGGCACTCGGTTCAAAATTGGCTTTCATAAAAGAAAGTGGGGATGGATTCTGAAATGATCTTTCTGGAACACCTTGGATACACCTTCTGCCTTCCTAGGGCCACCACCTATGGACTTGATGTGGGTCAGAACTGGGCAGTGCTGGCCTCCTCAGAGGCTGAGCCCCAGTGGAGACCACCTGCCCGCTGCCTTTCCGGAAGTCTTTGCATCAAAGGCCCGTCTCAAAGGCCACCTCCGGGAGACAGCCTGTGTGACGCACGCGCGCTGCGAGGAGCCCCGTCATCTCGGCTAATAATAACCCTGAAGCTGACAATTAGGCTGTGTGCACATCCCAGCGGCTCAGCAGCTAAGATGGCGTTTTGGTCTCATAGTTCCTATTAGAATTCATCACTTCAGATTTCAAGTTCCATTTGGCTAAGCTTATGAGGACTGGCTTTTGCTGTGTGTGTGTGTGTGTGACTGGCTTTTGCTGTGTGTGTGTGTGTGTGTGTGTGCACGCAAGCCAGGCCTGGGGCTTGCACTCAGGCTTGGGACTGTCATTGAACTTTAGGCACTCTACCACTTGGATGGCAGCTCCACTTTTGGCATTTTGGTGGTTAATTGGAGATAAGAACTTTCCTGCCTGGGCTGTTTTTGAACTGTGATTCTCAGAGCTCAGCCTCCTGATTAGCTAGCATTTCAGGAATGAGCCACCAGGGCCTGGCTTCCTTCTATCTTAGAATATCTCCACCCAGGACGGCTTTTCTGACAGCGCTTATTTCCTGTCTTGAACTCTGGGCTTGGGCTCTGTCCCTGCACTGTTCAGCTCAAGGCAAGCGCTCTACCGCTCAAGCCACAGTGCCACTTCCGGTTTTCTAGTGGTTTATTGGAGATAAGAGTCTCCCGGGCTGGCTTTGAACTGAGAACTTCAGATCTCAGCTTCCTGAGTAGGTAGGATTACAGGCATGAGTCAGCAGTGCCCAGCTTGTTTCCTGTCTAGGGGCTATATGGCGAGGTTTCTCAATCTGGTCAACAGGGCCAAACCATCCGGAAACAGATCTAGGCAGGATTAGATGGTCATTCAACACACATCTCCTGAGCCTTCCCACCCTGGATTAACATAGGGCTGGGGTGGAAACAGGTTGTAGAGACTAGATGAAGACCCTTCCTTGAAGACAGAAAAGAAAGACAAATACATACAGACTTGTCCAGGGCGGAGAGCTACAGATAGAGGGTAGGAAACCAGCATCTAAGAGATGGGGTATAGGGTGTCTAAATGGGGGTGCACCCACAGGGCACAGAGGAAGTAGCATGTGTGAAGTGGGTTAAGAATATATGGCTGGGCCCTGGTGGCTCACCCCTGTCATATGAGCTACTCAGGAAGCTGAGATCTAAGGATCTTGGTTCAAAGCCAGCCCAGGCAGGAAAGTCCTTGAGACTCTTTAACTCCTATTAGCCATCAAAAAGCTGGAAATGAAGCTGTGGCTCAAGTGGGGGAGTGCTAGCCTTGAATAAAAAAGCCAAGTGAGAGTGTGAGGCCTTAAATTCAAAGCTCAAGCCCCAGGACTGGTGCACACACACACACACACACAGACACACAGACACAGACACAGACACACACCACACACTTGCATGGACATTAAAGTAAACTCTGCATACCACCTTTCCCCTCCCTGTCTCCCGCCTCTGTGAGATGCAGGACTGTTAAGATGCTTTCAACTCGGAGTCTGAGCTTTTTGAAGCAGCCAGGCCAAGAGATGATGATGGCTGCTGTGGCCTAGCCCATCTTCTCCACACTGTGGGGGGTGTAGAAGGGCGGGGGGGGGGGGGGGCGGGGGGGGAGGCCAGAGCACTGGAGGAAGAGGAAGAGGTTTTGCAAAGAACTTTCCTTGGCGTTTATATTTGGGAGCTGAATTCCTGGGCTCTTCACCAGTGGCTGACTTCGTGCTCTCCAACACGCCTGCCTTTCATCTGACCTGGGGTGAGCACAGGATGGGCAGGAGTTGAGGGCGTCTGTCTGGGGCCCGAGATCCTCCCACGAAGCTGATGAATCAGGTGTGAAGCCAGCTGGAGCATCCGCGCTCCCCTCACAGGCTGCCTGCCATTTCCTCCGCTTCCCCCGCCCTTATTTGGAACCCCTGACAGCTGAGCCACAAGCAGGCGGGCGTGGCTGGGCGCCGGCCAGCTTCAGTCACCCTCTGCTTCCCCGCGTGGGTCCCGCGTTGCCAAGGAGAAAGAATCCCGAGGGCCCAGTGGGGCTGATAATCAAGGACTCTTTTTTGCTCCGCTCACACCTTTGAAGTGGGGGCCTCTTGAGAGAAATCAGCAAGAATGTGGCTCTTGCCCGAGGGTCCAGGGGGGCTGCTCAAAGCCGTGGTGCTCTGCTGGGCTGATAACTTTAAAAGGACATCTCCGGGCTCTCACTTGGCGGGCTTTATCGCTGCAAGTGACAGAATGGGGAGGGTTCGAGCACTCCCAGCGCTCTTGGAGAGCTGGGGGGCTATAAAAACGGAGGCGCTGGGCAGCTGGGGACAGTGAGGGACAAAGACAGAGCGAGAACAAGCAAAGAGAAGCGAGAAGAGGCAGCCAGCGCCAGACAGCTCCCTGATCGAGGCCAGCATGGGCTCCTTCTCCACCATCACCGTGAGCCTCCTCCTCTTCCTGGCCCTTCAGCTTCCAGACCAAACAGGCGCCAACCCCGTGTACAATACCGTGTCCAGTGCAGATCTGATGGACTTCAAGGTAGGGCCAGAAAGCGGGGGATACCCAGATAGGAAGCGGGAGGCTTTCTGGTACTGGGCCTCCTCCTCTCCATCTTCTCTGGATCAGTGAGGTCTCTCCCTTTCCCTGTTTTTTTTTTTTTTTAAAAGAATCTGCTGGACCAGTTGGAGGAGAAGATGCCGTTGGAAGAGGAGGCTGTGCCCCCACAAGGCCTGAGCGAGCAGAACGAAGAAGTGGGGGCGGCTCTCAGCTCTCTCCCTGAGGTCCCTCCCTGGACTGGGGAGGCTGGCCCAGTGCAGAGAGATGGGGGTGCCGTGGGGCGGAGCCTCTGGGACTCCTCCGAGCGCTCTGCCCTCCTGAAGAGCAAGCTGAGGGCATTGCTGGCTGCCCCTCGGAGCCTGCGGAGGTCCAGCTGCTTCGGAGGCCGGATGGACAGGATCGGAGCCCAGAGCGGGCTGGGCTGCAACAGTTTCCGGGTAAGTGGAGGTGGGGGGCTGGAGGGAAGGGAAGAGAACCCACACAGGAGGAGGAAAATTATGGGTTTGGGGAGAATCTGACTTTGCAGGGGTGGAGGGGCATAGTCTCAGGAAATGGATCAGCATAGAAGCTAGTTCCTTCTGAGATTTCTGCCCCAGCTTGATGCTGTCCCCAAAATCTGAGGATAATTCCACCATCTTCAGCTCTAGCCTGATGAGAATTGTTAAAAAGAAGGAAGGAAGGAAGGAGAGAGAGAGGGAGGGAGGGAGGGAGGGAGGGAAGGAGGGAAGGAGAGAGAAAGGGAAGGAAGGAAGGAAAGAAGGAAGCAGCCAGGCTCTGGTAGCTCACACCTGTAATCCTAGCTATTCAGGAGACTGAGATTTAAGAATCAAGGTTCAAAGCCAGCCCGAGCAAGGAAAGTCCCTGAGACTCTTATCTCCCAATTAATCTTTCAAGATCCTGAAAGGTGGAAATGAAATGCACAAAGACTGCCCTTATTAGCACTAAGGAGTAACTCTTCTCTATTTAGGAAACTCAGAGGCCCGTGGGCTGAGATTGAGGCTGGGGGAAGAAGCTGGCTGGGTCAAGTTTGAGTTTAGTGCAGTCCAAGGGAGCTCACCTCTTCAACAGGACAAGGTCACCAAGACAAGTATGATTTTCTCTTTGTAGTATCGAAGATAACAGCCAGCGAGACAAAAGGCGGCCAGGCTGGGGCGGGCTGGGAGATCTGCAGCCCTGGCACCCCTCACAGCTGGGTCTCAGCTCTGTATGAACCTGCACGAAGCTGCAGAATCCTGTCAATGCTGCCATTCTATGCTAAATATGGAGAGAGTGGTGTAATCATGGCTTTCCACCCCTATCTCCCACCCCATGCATTAAGGTAGCTCCTTCACCTGTTACTGAAAACTTTTGCCAAGTGAATTAAACTTCAGCACCATGGACAGAAGCCAAAGGCCTGATGTGGTGTGATTTCTTTCCTACCCAGGGGGAAGAGTCAAAGTCATGTATTCGTTGTCAGAGAAAATGATTCTAGTTTCCCTTTCCAACTCTCCTTTCCTTATTTCCTTGAGCTAAGGTTTGCTATTTAGCCTAGCCTAGCCTAGAACTCCTAACCCTCCTGCCTCAGCCTCCTGAACGCTGGCCACACCCATTTGGCCACACCCAAGTTTCTTTCTTCTTTTCCTCATTTCTTCCTCCCTTTCTTTTCTTGGTTGGGGCAAGGAAGGGTCTTAAACTCCAGTTCTCTACCTGCTCTGCCCTTCACCCAGCCTTAGCCACAGAGGCCCCTGGAGGGGAAAAAATAGAGCATTTTTCTCCAGACGCCAACATGTATGGTGGCCCTTCCTTATTGGAAGAAAAACTCACAGAACATGAGGGCTTCTCATCCTGGAAACAGCTATTAAATTAGATGACTTTGGGTTACAACTCCGGTGGGTGGAAGGGCATATGTCGGAAGCGAGGGTGCCCCCTGCATTCCCTCTGGAACCTCGGAGTCCGCTGCCACAGCTAGATAAGGACACCTGAGCTCAAACAAGGCTGCCGGACTTCAAAGCCGAGTGAGCAGAGAATGGCTTGCTGTGTTGAGAAGTTCCAGGTTCATGTTTGTGAAAACACAACCCCCAACGGGCAGCTATTCATTTATTTAGGGGTGCTGGGGACCAAACCACATCCATTGAGTCATGGTCTCTCCCTTTGCAGGGCCCTAGTGTGTAGCTTGTAGACTGGACTATATAGATTTCTCTTCTTGCTTCTGAAAAGGGTATGGTGCTAAGCCTCTGTGTGTGTGTGTGTCCATACTGGGGCTTGAACTCAGGGGCTAAACACTGCCCCTGAGCTTTTCTGCTAGCACTCTACCATTTGAACCACAGCTCCACTTCTGGCTTTTTGGTGGTTAATTGGAGATAAGCGTCTCAAGGACTTTCTCTTGGTTTCAAAACAAGATCCTCAAATCTCAGCTGATTACAAGCATGAGCCATCGGGCTGGTGTCCCCCTCCCTCCCCCTCCCCCTCCCCCTGCCCGTTATTCAGCCCTGGGGAGAACATTGGATTCTGAGCAGCAGTGATGGCAGGCCACGCCCCCTACAGGCAGACCACAACCCCAGTGCGCAGAGAGGATGGGGGAGGAGGAGCGCATCACACTGGCCAGCAAGCCAGGTCACATTTCTTTTTTTGTATGGGTCCTGGGGCTTGAACTCAGGGCCTGGGCACTGTCCCTGAGCTGCTTTTGCTCCAGGCTAGCACTCTACCACTTGAGCCATAGCACCACTTCCGGCTTTTTCTGTTTATGTGGTACTGAGGAATTGAACCCAGGGCTTCATGCATGCTAGGCAAGCACTCTACCACTAAGCCACAATCCCAGCCCCCCGAGTTTTTTGTTTGTTTGTTTGCTCAAAGTTGGAGCTCCACCACTTGAGCCACAGCTCCAATTCCAACTTTTTTTTTACTGGTTATTCAGAGAGAGAGGGAGGAGAGGGAAGAAGAAAAAGAAGAGAAGAGGAGGGGAGGGGAAAGAAAGGCCAACACCCCTTTCCACAATCTCTTGTTCTTGGCTCTGCGAAGCTGCCCCTAGTAGAAAGAGGGATTTTTGCAAGAAAGACAAATAGAGCAGTACTCACCTCCCAGGAGAAGCAGTGGCATCCTGAAGATTTTTAGCTCCACAAAGCTAAACCAATCTTAATGTTTTAATGGTTAATTTTTGTTTTAAAAGTTATTATTATTTTTTGGATAGGAACTTGTGTTTTTGACCACGGGTGACCTGAGTTGGAAATTCTTGTCCGTATCTCTCCCACATAGCTGAGATTAGAGACATGACCACCATTCACTTGTTGAGATGGAGTCTCACCAACTTTTTGCCCAAGCTTGCTTTAAACTTCACTTCTCTGGGCTGGGAAGGTGGGGTCCTGGGTTCGATTCCTCAGCACCACATAAGCAAGAAAAAAAAAAAAAGGCCAGAAGTGGTGCTGTGGCTCAAGTGGTAGAGCACTCGCCTTGAGCTGAAGAGCTGAGGGACAGCGCCCAGGCCCAGAGTTCAGGCCCCACGACCGGACACCCCCCCAAAAAAACCCAAAAAAACAAAAACCTTCACTTCTCCAAGATCCCTTCCAAGTACCCGACTGCAGGTGTAAAGCCACTTTCACCCAGGCCCCTAATTTTTTGTTGTTAATTGGGTTTGAACTTGGGGCCTGGGTACTATCTCTATGCTCTTTTGCTCAAGGCTAGAGCTCTACCACTTTGAGCCACAGTGGTACTTCCAGTTTTCTGGTGGTTAATTTGGAGATGAGAGTCTCAAAGACTTTCCTGACCGGGCTGGCTTCGAACTGCGATCCTCAGGTCTCAGCCTCCTGAGTAGCCACCAGCGCCCAGCTTCCTAAATTTGTTCTTATAAAGGCAACTGATGGATGCTGGTAAGCGGAGCTGGTGGCCGTAGGCCTGCTGGGCAGACAGGAGGGGCGAGGCCCCATGACACCCAGCACGGCAGGAGAGAACCCGGAGGCGGAGGCTAAGGAGATGGATGCAGACATTTTATTCCACATGATATGGCTACTAGGAGAACCTCCCAAGTTCAAATAAAAATAGAGCTTTACAAATTAAAAAACACCTACGATTTACACACACAACGGACATGGCTGACGTTACAGTTCAAACTAACAGTGCAAACAGAGAGAATCCGCGGCCAGGACGACAGCCGGGGCTGCAGGGCTGAGGGCCAACACTGTAGGTCAATACTGCCAGGCCCAGGAGGCCGCGCTGGCCTCCCCCAGAGCGTGGGCCTCCATGGAGGCTGCACCTGCGGGCCTCCTGGAGCTCTGTCCTCCTAGGGCGGCCGGTCCTGTGCTGCATCGGGCCCACCGCACAGGCAAGCGTCCTCCCCATTAGTGACATATGGTCACAAGCGGATGCCCCCAAAGCACAGAACTGCCTGGAACTGAGGACAGCAAGCCTCACCCCACCACCACCACCTGCACCCCAAGCTGCGATGGGTAGAGCACTGGGGGCCAACGGGTGCCAGTGGTCAGCATGGGGAGACAGAGCCAGCCGGCGTCTCCACACTTCCTGGAAGAGCGGAGGCGATGGAGCGATGGGATGGAGTCTGGCTTGGTTCTATTTCTGGGCTCAAGTGACATGGACACAGGACTGGGTAGGGAGTGACAGGAGGGGACACACCATCTCCTTGTGTGACCTCAGGGGATGGGTGGCCCTTGCGGGACCCAGGGGGCCAGAAGGGGTGAAGCCCCGTGGCAGGGGGTGCACTCCAACAGTTGGGTACTTCATTTTGGGGGTGGGCACTGGGGATTCAACTCAGGGCTTCCCATTCTTGGCTTTTTCACTTAAGGCTGGTGCTCTACCATTTGAGCTACACCTTCATTTTCCAGCTTTTTACTAGGTCACTTTTCTACCTGAGCTGGCTTTGAACCTTAATTCTCAGATCTCATGCTCTGAGGGGCTGGGATTACAGGAATAAGCCTCAGTGCTCGGCTGGGCCCTTATTTAAAAAAAAAAGAAGGACAATGTGGTCAAGTTTTGAACGTTGCCAGAAAAGCAAGAGCAGCGAGGCAAACGCACTGGCTAAGTTCCATTTTGTTGGAAGTACCATCTCAAACACACACCAGGCTACCATAGAGACCGGAAGTGGAAATATCAAAGTTGTTTTGGCCAAAACAAGCAAGTGGGGAGAACTGGAGGTGATGCTGCGGGGTCCTGAGGGCCCGGGGAGCTTCCTGGGCTGGGGGAGGGGGAGAGTGAGCATAAGACCCACCAGGCCCGGCCGGGACCAGTCTCTCCCAGGCTGCAAGGAGCCAGGCCCATGCACCCAGGCTCTCAGATTTCTATGGTTTGAAAAAAATGAAATGAGCCGGACGCTGGTGGCTCACACATGTAATCCTAGCTACACAGGAGGCTGAGATCTGAGGATCAAGGTTGAAAGCCAGCCCAGGCAGGAAATTCCCTGTGAGACTCTTATCTCTAATTAACCACCAGAAAGCTGGAAGTGGCACTGTGGCTCACGTGGTAGAGTGCTGGCCTCCAGAACAAAAGCTCAGGGACAGCACCCAGGCCCCGAATTCAAGCCCCAGGACCGACAACATACATGAAATTCAAACAAAAGCTACCGTGAGTCCCAGAGGGTGGCTGCCACAGGGGAGAGGATGGGACACGCTGACACATGTGTGGAAGGGGAGGAAGATGCGTGACAGCGCCCTTAACCAGACGCCACGCAGGGCCCACGAGCGGCCAGCAGCCTGAGCTGGGCTTGGCCTGTGCCAGGGCTCGGCACGCTGCACGCTCCTCAAGCTCCACACTGGCCCTCTAGGCTACTGACCAGAAGGGCGACCTTCCTCCCTCCCTTCCCTTCCCTCCCTCCCTCCAGTCCCATGGCCACCCACCCTGTCACATACCTTTGAGTGGCCTTGGCTCAGGACGGCCTGCTGCCCGTCTGTAAAAACGGCCCCTTCCCTGGCGCTCGGCAATTTGGTCTGGGGTGCCCAGCTCCAGTTAACTTGGGGAGCAGGGTCGAGGCTAAGCTGTGGCTGCCCTACCAGGGAGGAACTGGGAACTAAGAAAGCCCAGAAGTCACAGGAGTGAGAGGGTTGGGGAGACCACGGCTGTTTGCAAATGGTGAGGGGGAGTGGTGGTAGGAGTGGAATCTGGAGACTGAGGGTCAGATCTCCGTGCTCTGCGCTTCTGGCTGGTGGTGGCTCCAGGGACACTTGGGCCATGGGGAAGCCCGGGGCAAGGGGGTTGTGGGGGTGGGAAGAGGTGGATCACTGCCCTTCAGACGGATCAGAGAAGCTGCTAAGAGGCTGTGTGTGGCAGGCCTTGGGCTCAAGCCCCAGAACCACAGAGGAGGAGGAGGAGGAGGAGCAGGAGGAGGAG